TTTGGTAGCGAACGTCGGATATTATCTTGCAAGATTGCAACCAACCGCTCCGCCAGCTTCGGGACACCCCACAGATGTGTAGGTAGTCGGTTCCAGTATTCGTGCTGACCGAAGAAGGCGATCTCATTCGCCAAACCTTTCTCGATACTCGTTCCTTTGCTCAATTCACGCTGGTTACGGCACTTCACGGCGTGATATCCCAGACGCATTTTCTTCTTCTTGTTCAACAGCAATTCATGCACTGCCAACTCGGCGCCAGTATCCACCAAATCCATCTTCGTCACTACTGCAATCGTGCGCGTACCATTCGGATCAGCTTCTTGGGCTGCTTGTAGGATCTTGGTGTTGTGCATGTCCACATTGGCTGGCACCACAGCGATGATCACAGTACGCTCCTGCTTCATGTATCTGTCCACCATCTGCCGAACTCTTGGAATGATACTCTGGTCTTCACGGTCACCAACTGTACGCACCAGTCCAGGTAGATCCGTGAGAGTGAGATTAGGCAATTCGGGGCCACACATCTCGATCACGATCTGGTCATCGCTGATGTTTTGACCTTCGTCGACAAGTTTCTGGGTGAGTTTGGTGATGGCATCGGGGACGTCTTCGAGTCGGTTGAGCTCTTGTTTCTCTTCACCTTCGTCGTTCTCACTACTTGATTGAAACCGGACGAGACGTACGGTGCCGCGGAAAGTATCCGCACGAGTCAGAATAAGCTGCGTGGGGCATCTCGTCGTGAGTTGGTCGTTCGACGGGAAGGATACACCCGAGAGTGCCGACAGCAGAGACGATTTTCCACTGGAGGTATCGCCCATGACTGCAATCTGTGGCAGCTCGATGTACTGTCCGAGACCAATGTCTCGGAGTTTATCGACTAGTTTTCGCTCTTCCTCACACGTGCGAACCTGTGCCAACAATCCCTTGATCTTCATGGTAGGTTAGTGTTCTGGTGTGTTAACTTTTTAGATAAGCAACGATAATGTGAAGATCGAATTGATCAGAGAAGCACTTTTAGACGTACGTTGACCAAAACGTTGGTACTTAAACTAAGTCTTGAGGAGTAAAGCCTACAACTTAGGCCCAAGTCCATGGTTCTTCTTCTTGAGCTTTCTCGTACTCTTGCAGCAACTTTAATTGCATTTCTTCTTCTTCAGCCATACGAATCGCCAGTTGTTTGTCACTCGCTTGTTGCGCCACTCGCGTCAGTTCTTGTTGTTGCGGAATCTGCATCGACCACGTCTCCAATTCAAGAACGTTTAGAGCCTCCTGGTTCTTACGTAGACGTTCGAGCAGATCTTTACGTTCATCTTCCAGCCTCATTTTCTGTTCCAACTTCTGCTCCATCGTCAATACCGGCGTGGTAGGAAACAACGATAACGTCGTGATAGCTGTGGCTCCCCACGCAGACTGAGGTGGAGATTGTGGCACTGGCGAGTTCGTTAAAACTGGTTCTTCTACACGATGGCTACTAGGCCACACTGGCTCCACCCACACCTCTTCTTCGTCCTGTTTTAAGTAAACCAAGTCGTGTATAGCATCGTCCAAAGGTTTCACTGCTACGCGGTACTGATACTGCTCTTGTATGTCCAGAAACCAATCGTTCAAAGCGTGTAGCCACGAACCAGTTCTTTTCAAGGAACTTGGTTAGTAACTCTTTGGTCGCTTCTGTCTGCTCCGCTCCGCTGCCTCCAAGAGCTCCGTCGCTCATAACTAACACAAGTGTATTCTGGTGCTTCGCCGATCCTGTTGTCTCCAGCAAATCCAGCAATACATAGTACAGTCCGTTGATCCCACTTGAACTTTGACTCAGTGCGTATATCTCCCAGTCAAACTCTTGCGGTGGCAATGCCAATTCTCGGGGCATTTACGATACGACGCCAGCCTGCGCTTCAATAATCTAATTTTCGATCCACATACACGATCTGTCAATTCTCGAAAATTCAGACGCACATCGTAGCCGCTTCTAGCGCCAGCAATGCGTTGATACAGCCACAGACTATTACACACAGCGCCTGCTATATTGTCG